CATTCAATCACCTCCAACGATACTTAATAAAGTCGAATGCATGGCGCATAGCTCAGGGATTGATCAACGCCGAGAGCTTTGTCTTTTTTTATCCCTTATGTGCTATCTATGTACCTAAGACATGTTTGCTACACAGTAAAGATACAGTAAATAATAAAGAATAGTGTCGTTTTCTTGCTCAGCAATCGCGAGGTTTTTAAACAGCATACATTTACTTCCATAAAAACACAATACAATACAACGCTAGCTGACGTTTCGGCAGTATCGCCTTCTTCAGAGCCGCTTTTTTCGTGACTTCCAATGAGGAAGTTTAGAACAGCTGATTATAGTCGCATGTGGTTGACGACTCGCATGTGGACGACGACTGAGTCGTCAACCACATGCGACTATAATCAGCTGTTCTAAACTTCCTCATTGGAAGTCACGAAAAAGCGGCTCTGAAGAAGGCGATACTGCCGAAACGTCAGCTAGCGTTGTATTGTATTGTGTTTTTATGGAAGTAAATGTATGCTGTTTAAAAACCTCGCGATTGCTGAGCAAGAAAACGACACATTCATATTCCAATGCCGAGGTTAAGAGAAAGTCGATCCTGGGAACTATTACAAGATGTACCAATAAAGAATAGTGTTCCCATCTTCCCATGCTTCTTTGTAATTTACGGTTGTTTTTCGGCCTGAGGATGTTTCTAGATTTTGAACGGCAGTATGCAGCAGATGATCATCCTCCGACAAGGGTAGTTTGGTGGAATCTGAAAAACGTTTGGATATTTCCATTTTCAAGCCTATCTCATGGTAATCCATTGCCAGAAATGATTGTCACCTTTGATGAAACATATTCTGGGCTCGGTAGCGAATGTTTTCTCAAACACAAGGTACAGCAAGTGCTTGCGGCGACGGCTGAAGGAAGGCATGCCAGTTTTTTTTTCAGGTCTTCACAGAAGGTTACCTAAACAGCAATACTTTAGCTAAGTGAGATCTATCGTATGGTCATTGAAAATCTGGAGAAGGTGGACCACTGATAAGTGGTTAATATCAATGAACTTGGATGGAATCTGCCCGGCATTTTGGTTGTGGTTCCTCCATGTTTGCGAATACCAATCTAGCTCTCGGAGTGAATTGTTGGAGTTCGCACATGTTCATGCTATTATCACCTTGCCATTGGCATCCGTGCTATCAATCGTACAAACCCAAGAGGAATGAAGAGAAGCCTAATCGAACTGAAGAAGAGATTGAAGCATGTACATGGGAATACGTAAAAGGCTCTATTGTTCTTATTTCAAACTAACAGAATTTCCTTGCGCATTTCGTCTGTTACCTTTCATAACTGATTGTCTATGAAAATCTGACAGCTTCCTTTAGCTTTTTGTTTCTCCATATTGCTTTTTCGTCCGACTTTTTTTTCTACTTTCGTTCTTCGGCATTTCTTAAAAATTGCCAGGTTTCGCATTGCCCCTAATATGAATTAGCTACGCTGACCGACGTTGACGGCTTCTTCATGCGGTAGAACGTCGTGCGCGGTCGGCGCTTGCGTAATCTCTTACGACTGGCATATGGGGTGATTCGTTTGCGATTCATTCGTCCGGAAGGCGGCTTGAAATAAAAGGGCAGGAGAATCAACACATCGGGTAGTCGAACTACTCTCGGTCTGTAATCGTTCGTTAGTGTGGCTAGAGAATAAGAAACGAAAAGGAGTGACATTTGGCATTCAGGAATGGCCTGAAAAATTTGAGAACTTGAAGGGTTCTTGGAGTCTTTTCACTTTATTCATAAGCTATAAAAGGCTGGTTCTCAGCTAAGGTTAAGTCGCTCACATTTCGGCGAAATCGTCGCTTCTAGAGCAGCAATGATGTGTTCACAGAAATCGCTGTTTCTTGCGATATTAGCTTTCATATTCGTTGGATTGTTTGAAGTGGAACAGTAGGCGCAAAATAAAAGACGACAATCGTGGAATGCTAGAAACACACTGTTGGAAATGCATATTGTTTAATATAACATGTTTTCAGGACGTGTGTAGCGCAGTGCTCAGAGGTGCCTCGTAATAAGCACGTCGTCTTTAGCTCGATCCCTCACGCTGGCGTCACTAAGCTTTCCATTACTCTGGGGTCAGAAAGCTGATACCAAACCTATTTGAGAAGCTATCAGCGCTGATTTGCTATATCTGTAGGCTATCGCAAGTCATTGTATCGGCCAGATATGCATTAAAAACACCTCTACAATATAATGAATAGAACTGGTATGAATTGCTAAGATATTTCCTGCGGTCCGGAGTTTGGCAAATATCTCAGCATTTCACACGAGTTATGTTTCGCAACATACCCTGCCATTAAGAGGAAAAAGGCAGTAAATAAAAGGGTTAAGATTACGAATAGAGTTAAATGTACGAGGCATCTCCGAGGGATCGATTACTGCCGGAACTTTACCTTTCTTACCTTGTTCTCAAAATAGATAACAGTAGAAGAGAAATTTGTGATATTACAAAGTACATATCCTTAGCCGATGGTTCTCGTTCGCTTTAATATTTCGCTATTAGCTTAAGCTTTTCTTCTCATTCATTATTGTACTCCTACAAATCTTAAGCTTATTTTCAGCGTTTCAGCGTTTTTCGTCTCGGTGTCTAGGGAAATCTTAGTTATTTCCTGTGCTCGAGACATTACGATGGTTGGTCGTGGAGTTAAAACAGTAATATATTGCATAATTCGTAATAACTAGACAATTTTTATTAAAAAAAAGTTACTAATAACAGCAAAATTACATAACTGCATCGTTGTAAATTACCATACCCTGAGGTGAATAGTTAAATAGCAACAGTACGGTGGAAAAAAGTTGTTTCTTCGGAGTAAAGTACTCATTTGGATGTACATTGTTGTATAAAAAATCGCTCTGAAAGCGTCTAAATGAAACACTTAAATTGTGCAGTCATTGCAGAAACATTCATTCACATCAGAGGACTGTAGGGTCAATTTAGAACAACTGTCGAGTATGATTTGAAATATAACCACAATGATGCCGAGGTATGAGTAAAACTCGGAGCCTCAACTGGGCTTCGAATCCGCGTAGGACGTTCACTGGGGGCTTACGTGCTATCCACCGCACCGACCTTGCTTTGCTCTTCTCTCAGAAACGTTTTACCTCTGTCCGTGTTATATTCTGCTTCAAAAAAGACTAGACGATAGAGAAAAGTTAAAAATGGGGAGTAATCTATTACTTTTGAAGTTAAGCGCCCAACGTATCTAAGCAAACGATTACTTAATTAACTGGGTACTTGCATGGCCTGTCGTCATTGGTTATGCGGACCCCTGTATAATCACCATTTTTTTGGAGATTTGCTGGTTTAGCCATTGTGGTTTCCTGGAATTCCGATCACAGCCTGGTGAAAGTCTGCCTAGGGTCGTTACCACCACAGGCAGCTTCAGTCCTTGTGGAGCAGAGGTAGATTTTCCACCATGCGATTTTGATACGAGGACGGTGGTGGATCCCGGAATTGGTTTACTCTTAGCTAAGCTTCCTGATGGAAACGCCGGACTCCTTCACAGCTTGGGAGACCCTGCCAGGGAAAGAATCCTTCGCTGTACACCGCAATCCAACACCCAGAAGCACTTCCTAGCCACAGTGAGGTGGTAAACCGTTGAGAGGGAGTGGTCCGATGTATGATGGCGAGCGAAGTAACTCACATCACCACTAAAAGTATGCGTTAGTTAAACAGTATGATCTCCAAAGAACCCCCACTTGAGCCAGATTCGGACTGACAAGCAAGTGAATAAAATAAAAAAACTCAGTACAATGGAAAAGTACGAATAAGTATTAACAATTTCTGAAGTAACTGAAATGTTTTATTCGAATACCGAGTCACAGGTTTCGTCATGATGACTTAAATGAATTCTGAATCCATTAAAAATATTTTAGCATCGAAACATCACGTCATGGATTAACATCGAAATCGTCTGTATCATTTGCATCGCTGTTAGAAGCTTTTTCAAAAAAAGATTTTAAAGAAACGAGAAATAAAAAGAAATTTTTTGAAGAAAAAGAGCTTCATGCGCAAGTGCCAGCAAAATCAACTCGTTCGTGTCGCATATCAGACGGAGCCCTTCAGGGGCCTAAACGGGCTTAAGGTATCTTTTACAGTTTTACAAAAAAAGTAGCTGCAAAGCTCGACGTGACCTTCTGTGAGATAATCTTACTTCTATTTGTTTGTCGATAAAGAATGGTTGAATTCTTGAATTCTTTGTAAGATTGGGCAACCCTGTTGGTAGATAAATACCCTCTGTTTACTGAACTTTGCCACTGAAGGACACCAACTAACTACAACGATACAGGAAACGATTGATTAAAAGATGTATACAGTCATCGATCAATTAACCACTGGACTTTCATCAACTATAACCAACCTTCCTCATCATCGACGTCACCATTTCGCAAGACAGGATTACTAGAGAGCTGACACGAAGTAGCTATTATGCTATTCATTCACATTAGTTGGCGCATCGGCGGTTTCGCCCTTTTTTCAACCTTGGATGACCAAATTGTCACGAGGTCTACTCGTCTAAACACTTTCATAACAGCAACGTATATTTATCTTGGTGCATTGTGCCTAAAAACAACTTTTTTGATCACTAAGAGATTCGTTTTTTAGTAAAAAAAACTCGTGTCTGACCATCAGGGAAACAGTGAGTTATCGATCATTCCCAAGGTTAATAGATGTTCGGTGCAGGGATTATTTCAAAAAGTCATAAATGTCTTAAAATCGAGAATAGCACTTGCAGGGGATTGTTTTCTCATTTAGGCGCTCGTAATCCCCCTTTCCATCACTCGCCGACGTAGGCGTGGCTATCTTTAAAGCATACGGTATTCGCAAAATGGCACCGCCCACTTACCGTGCACCGCTTGAGGCACCAAGGCCTCGTAAGCCGCAATAAGCCACGCCGCGCTCTACGTCGAAATCCTCATCGGGATCAATTTCTTGACTATTAATCTGTTCACTTATAAGCCACCACTGGGCTTATGGATCACAGTTTTCCGTCGCATTTGGTGTGTGCAGCCGTATCGGCGCTGGACGGCGGAATTGGCGCCGGTCTCTCGGCTCTCAGCGCCAACTCCACTTTATCGGATATTGGCTCAATTACTGGAGCCGAAGACTATGACGCTGGTACATTCAGCTATTCGGTACCGTTACCAGCCACAGATGGGAATTTCTCCACAAAACTTCCGAAGAGTAGGTTTTGTTTGGTTATGGCCTCATAGTATTGAATGAGCCCACTGTAAATCGAATCCACCTTTTCAATCGAGAAAACTGCAAAGAATTTCCAAATATGCAAGAATATAACCACTTGGGGAATACACGGCTTTCCCAGGAAACGAATCTAGGCCCACTTTATAATGACTAACTATAATTCTTCCACACTTCCTAAATGAGCGGACTTATTGAACAAACAGTTGATGGGAAGAATTTGATGTAAATTTCGTATAAGCAAAGAAAGTTTAGGTTCCTTTTTCATTTTTGATCTGAAAAGCAGAATATTTTTTATGAGTTCTTCATTTTCCTCTTTTTCTCTGTTTTTTTTGGAGAGTCTTATGGAGAGGTTCAGTTCATAATTTAATGCAAGAAATTGCAGTCAAGGTTGATAAAACGGAGGAAATCGAAGATGAAAGAGAAGGAAGCGGTAGTGAAATATTTCCGACCACCTCGACGAAAACGCACAAACCAAGACGTCAGCGAACTCATTTTACTAGCCATCAGGTACTAGATTCACTACTTCTATCTTAGATTCCGTTAATGCTGGTATTCTGGTTTTTAACCGGTAACATGAAAAAAGAATATGCAGCAAATAACAGTTAAACACTCCGATTTCGACAGCAGACCCATCTTAACTACGTTCAAAGCCGATTTGTGCTCTCCGGATTACTCCCGTTAACAGGTCACAGCTGGTTGCACCGATGGCGCAAAAAACATTTCTGGATGAAAATCAAAGTAACTGCTTCTATTGATGTGGTGGATAGCACGTGAGCCTGCCGGCATGGGAAATTGCTAGTTCGAAGCCCAATTGAGGTTCTGAGATTTGCTTACATCTCGGCACACTTTACTATGACAAAAGAATATGCAGTAAATTGAATTTGAAGCTCAGCGTTTTTTTAAAAATCTTCAGTTGTCTGATGTAGACCAAGTGCAAGGTGACCTAAACGAGTGGTGAATGTGCTTGGCTGAGGTCAAGGAACTATCCTAAGCCATGGCGCGATGTCACCCGTAACCTCAAAGCACTCCTCTTCGGAGTTTAATTTTAGAATTTTTAAGTTAATCCAAAACGTCCCAAAAGTTTCTCGCTTCGCGCTTTACATTCCCATGGGAGGATAGTGACTTTTAGTTCGAAAACTTCAGCGCTTTATCTTTTTGCCTTAGGTGAGCGTAGTGGCGTATTTTATTCGACTTTAACTGTACCAAGTTGTTGCCTCTTTATACAAATGGAGAATAGCCCACCCGTTTTTCTAACGTACTGACCCATATGCTTTACAAGAAACCAGTTATATCATTCTTAAATAAAAAGTCGATCCTGGGAATCGCCACACTTGAGGGCTTGTGATCTAATCGATGCTAGAGTAATAAGTAGGAACATATGTAGGTGCGTCCACGTACATATGTATGATTATGATGATTTTGAGCATAGGGGAGATCAATCAATGAGCTTCATCTCTGAATCGACCTCGCCCTTTAGGAAAGCCTTCCTATCCACAATCTGTGTGGTCACAACAAAACCGCGGCTTGCGGGTATGGAGCCACACTGCATACTCACGAGTGATGTCCACTTGTCACGAATTACAGTAGAAACTAAAGGAAAAACTTTTTCGACTTTGTGGTGGTTTTCTTCGTGAAAAACGAGCACTTCAATGATAGATTCTCCATAGATGACTGCAAAAAGTTTTTGAAAACAATGCATACAATAAGATATGGCATTCTATAGTAATCGCTTGTACGAAAACTTGATTCGTTCTGAAATTCATTCGATTCTGCGGTATTGTTTCTGTTCATGATGATTTAATTGAAGACGGTTTATTGCTCTATATATATATACATATTTATATATATATATATAACACAAGAGCGTCTGTGGCGCAGTGGTCGGAGGCGCCCTGTAAAAAACACGTGGAATCGATCCCCGCGCACAAGGCCCATCAAGCCTTCCATCTCTCCGGGGTCTACAAATTGGTACTAGACTTGTCTGGGTGGATAGAAGCACTGGCTCGATGCATCGGTAGGCCACCGCGAGTCACTGTAAAAGCCAGATATGAATTCAATTACTTCCAAACGATGCTTAATGAAGCGGATAGCTTTATCCTTTTATCCTTTTATCTATAACAACACTCTTTAAAAGGGTCAACTATTTGTCCGACCACTGTAGGTGTCCGATTACAGTTGACGGAACTCGAGAACTGGTTTGCCAGAAATCGCTATCCGGACATGGCCACTCGAGAGGAAATCGCTATTTGGATCAGTCTGACAGAACCACGAGTTAGAGTACGTTCCCAGTATTACTCACTATCCTAAATTACATCTTTTTAAGATTTTCTGATCTGTTTAGTTCTTTTTCAGTTGTTTTATGAAAAAATAGTCTCGATGGTGCTTTTAGTTCCTTGCTCTTCTTTAAGTGTACTCAATTATATCATATTTAACGATAATAAAAACTATGACAAATCGAAAATTGGTTATGTATTTTTATCAAAAGAAATGAATCGAGTGTGAAGCTGAATAGAAATTTTCACTAAATTTATGAAGTTGAACTCATAGCTTTTGCCTTTTTCTTGGATCAAAAGTAAGCCCAGTAATTGCTTCTACAGTAATCTAATGAAAATTCGCCCACATTGCTCGAATTCTACGATAGTTTCCAATAAAGTTGTATATTCTCCTTCTAGTAATTTAGAGACAGAGATGTGCTTCCTGTCGAAATGTGACATGTAATGAGGAACATCCCACCAACAAGCTCTCTCTAGAGTTTCGCATTTCCATGCGGAAACTCATCTTGGAGTAAATTAACCCCAGGAATCGCCAACGTCGTGATACAAAACCAGTTGCAAAGTAATAAATCCTCATCTGAACCACAACGGCTGCCGACGCCCATTCTTCCTGAGATGGGAATAACTTTACGCGGCACTCTCGGCTGTCCACGGAAAGGGGAGATTGCTCAATTGGCAAATCATCAGTGAACACAGTCTCATAAAATCATTTAGAAGGAGAAATTTTCTTACCAATCAAGCATGTAAATAAAAATATATACCACGACCAAGAACTAGTTGCCAAAAAAGAAATGAAAAGTGTAAGAAAGCTCAGATCACATGGGATCGCTGATGAAACACAGTGATGTTGTGTTCTTTACTGTTATCAAAACCATATATAAATATCCCTGTTCGCATTGCCAATTTTTATGAATGGATTAAGCCTGTACCTTCTTCAATTCGAGTAAGCGCGTGTGGGGCAGTGGTCAGAAGCGTCCTGCAACACACACGTGGAATTGATCCCCATGCCCATGGCCTGCCAAGCCTTCAATCCCTCCGGAGTCGGCAAACAGCACTAGCTCGGTACATCGGTAGGCCACCGCGAGTGATTGTATAGGCCAGATATGCGTTCATTCACCTCCAAAGGATGTTTAATGAAGTTGAATGCATGGCTCATCCCTCAGGGATTGATCAACGCCAAGAGTTTTATCCTTTATCCTTCTGTGAAAAGAAGAGGATTTATTAAAATCTATACATTTGAACTTCTCCGATTGGAGGATGGTCTAGAACGTCTATTTGTTAACGCGCAGGTTTTCGTTCTCCTTTATTTCTTCTTCAATCCTCTACGGTATTCACTTTTTGAAATGTATGCAGACTTCATTTTGTATTCTCTGTAGAATATTTGACGATACTTTTTTCTCTATAATAGCTTTATTAGGATCCAAAAAATCCACTGGATAATTCTGTCAGTTATCATGAACTTTCTCATGATCCCTCATAATCCCAGGTTATTTCTGGGTAACCGATTCTTTGTTGCGCTTTTGTTTAACTGTGCATTGAAGACGTAGTCGATTTTTATGCCAGGGAGTCTCTGTTTCGTCCCATATTGCATTGTAATCAAGCAACCAATCACTTATGTCGCTTAAAAAAAGAACGCACAACTGACTTTATAGCACGATATTCTTTCTATAGGTTTAAGCAATTCACCCTGTACTCATCACTCAAGCACTTTCTGATTTTCCAAGCTTTTTTAAAACTTCATTTTCATGCAACATTTTGATGAGGAGGAAACCGTCGAAACGTCAGCAGAATAAAGATTATATGTTAACTTTGCGTAAGCTTATCAAAAAAAGAATGGAACATTTTGTCTGTCTGAAAGTTTCCGAGTAAGCAACAGCAAGTTGTTGCCATCTTTCTAAATCTTTAAGATTGGCGTTCCCCCTAAAGCCATTGAAAGCAATCTTACATCGTTGCGCTTTAACTGTTTTCTGATAAGTTGAAGCGTTGTTGTTTTAGAGTGTGGTATTTATAACTTTTCCTTCATACTTTGTTTTGCCACGAAAAGACCGCTCGGCTTAGTTGTACTTCACTTTTACTGCCAAGAGCTTGAATGATTACGGTGGAGAGCCAGGGAGAAAAATGTGCGCTATAAAATGGCGTATATTTTTCCTAATATTAAGCAAGAAAACTACAAAACAGCTCTGTCTGCGCGGAAATAAAGGGCCTTTGCGAAGAGCAGGGCTAAAGTCGTCTTGACATCTGGGTAAGAGTGTTTTTTTTTGACAAAGCTGGACGTTATTTTTGGGCTAGAAATTTCTCAATTTGTGAAATAATTACGGAGCTGATGATGATGTACACCGGCCGTTCTCTCACACATTTCAATTAGCCATTGCATCTTATTCATTAACGCGCCGCTATTCACCCGATGTAATTGACAACGTCGTCGTCGCCGTCGTCGTTATCCCATGGGAGAAGAACACGTGGTGACCGTCACCGGACGGTATCGCGTCACCAGTGAGCACTAACATTGTTCTGTCAACATTCTCGTAGCTTTTGCAGATAGCTGTCGACATAATTTTAGCATGTTTACTGTCTAACTCCTTTTAGTCCCTTTTAATCTAATTTCCTCTAAGTTCTAAGTTGACCATAGCCTCAGCTCAACTGTTTGCAATGCCAAAGTGTGCTCTCCAAATCATTATCGTTGAAGGGTGACTGCTGATGGGACCGTCAGGGTAGGAAGCTAGCTGAGGGAAAAGTAAAGTGAGAGTGTGGCTTGGTGTGGTGGAAAGCAGGTGAGCTCCTGGAAAGGGTAGTTCAAATCTGCATGTGATCAATGTTTTGCAAATACCTGAGCATCAGAGTAGCAATTGCATTTTATTTCATTATAAGCGAAACTGTTGTACTTTTTGACAGTTAAAAGTGCAGTGTGAAGAGGTTTTATTTGCTAAGAAGAATTTCCCACCGTAAGAAATCTCAAGCAAGAAATCTTCTCCGTTTATTTTTCCTCTTTTCCCGTTCTTCTCTTCTTAACAACTTTGCTTAATGCAATGGGTCAGAGTCATGAAATGTAATGGACAAAATGCGAAAAAGAAAGGTGAACTTCCGTGCTTTTAGGTGTGGTTCAAGAATCGTCGAGCGAAATGGCGAAAACGTGAACGAAACTATGTGGACACAAAAGGATTCAGTAGTACACTCGGCTCATCGATGAGTACTATCGGCGGCCTACAGACCGGCTTAGGTCTTAGCAATCTTCAGAACGGCTTCTCTCAAACATTACTACACACTTCAAGCCAGGTATAAACGCCGTAATTTCTCTATGAAAGGGATATTGCATTAAAAATCGTAGTTACTAAGCTGGGATTCTTCAGGCTTGGATAGAGATTATCGATATTCCTTATCGGAGTAGATTTCATTGGATTCTTATCTTTGACAGGCAATTTCAAACATAGAGGAGAAGTTAACTGAGAATACTATTTTGCTGCGTAAGAGGTAGTGAAAAAGCAGTAAGATCACTGTAAGAGTTTTGGAAATGCATCAGATCTGGAAGACGGATTTCTGGTTGAGAGGGTAGTTTTGATAAAAATCCATTCACCACAGCAAGCTTGAAAACGAGAAAACACTGTTAGTTCTGTAAACATTTTCATAATATGTGTTTGTTGCTGGATTGAACACTGGAGCGCAATTATCCTCGCTCCGAACTCTTATGACCTTCGACGAGTTATTTCACTTCTGGCGTCGATTGCTGTCTCTGTTGCTTCTTGTCATTATTTCACAATGTTTACATTATCGCCAGCAGCCTTTTCTAACAGTAAACAGACAGAACATGCAAACTTCACCACCAGCAGCACCAGAAGCCTTTGTTCGAATGCTCCCACATCTAAGGAAAATCATAACTTTTCATTTACCATCACTTTTAAAATCTTCCTGATTTCTAATCATTACAGTAATCGTCCTTAATTGTCAACTAATTTTCTTTTCTCATTTGCTGGTTTTTTCAATTGTTTTTCCACGAATTCACTACTCTAATTTCTACCGAGTTTCTTTCGTCAGAATTCTTCATTAGAGTATTTCAGATCGACGACACTGGATCCTTCTACGGATACGGTGGTGGCTGGCAAACTGCCAACTATCAACCAAGGGGCGGGCAAACGACATTCAATTGGTCGATGAAAAACCAGGTAGGCAGTAAAGAGTTACGAAATGATTGTTCAGCTTTTAGTTACCATCTGATTCACGTAGAAGGTCGGGTTTTGTTTCGAAAAATGGAGATTCGAATTCTAGCGAAACGAGTAAAATACCACTCCAAAACGAACAAAATAAATCTGCGTCCAAGAAAACAGCACTCTTGTCTTTACGATGTTGCCGGAACAAATTTGTAATTAACATTTCCTTCAGAGTGTTTTTAAGAGTAAAACCGAACCTTTTTAAACCTTAACATTGAAAATCTTCTTGAGCTGGGAAACTTCGAATTAACTGTTTAATTTGTGATTAGTTACTAATACGAAAGATACTATGTAGAAGCATCATTATTTTAAGGACTTATTTTCTCAAGACTCAACTGTTTAGGATTTGATAAGCTTCTAAAATTTTTTCATAACACCTTGTTATTTCATAAGATCCCTTACCTGACCGTATAAACTCGATCAACGAGATTCTTTTCAGCTCGAGATTTTCAATATGTGAAAATTTAATAAAATCATTACCTGCTTTACCTATATTCCCGTTAATAATCAAAAAACTTGTGAGGGCGCCAGGCCGTCTGGTTGGTCGTTAAAGGATACGAAGTCCATCAAACTTAAACGATGTTTTATTTTTACTGTTTTCAGCGATAAAGTAGTTCGCTGAAATATGTCTTGGCACATTATGCTTCTGGTTAGAAATATCCAACTACACCGCCCACATGACACCGTCGAGATGAAAAATAAACTCCTTCCATTGCCGTTTTATGCGCTGGAAACAACCAAACATACTAAGGTTGTAATTCAGTGAGGGACCATCAAATAATTAAATGAATAAGTTACAGTTCGCGTCTACTTTGCCGGTAATGTCGCAAACGGGTCGCTTTTCAACACCAATGTCTGCATTGCACTCGGTTCCAGGGTAAGCTATCAAATTTTTAGTTTCTTCATCTTACCGCCAAGCGATAGTTCGAAAAAAAAACGAAATTACCACACTAATTTCGGCCAGCGAACCTTGCCTATGGGACGAGCTTTCTGGACCACATCTATACACTCCCAAGGTCAGAAGTTCACTTAGAAGCAACCTGTTGCTTGTCCTAACATTTAATGAGTCCAAGAGAGGATTTAACGGTGTGGAGATCTACATCACCCCTCACTATAATTGGCAAAGATGTAGGCCCTTTAGAAAACATTTGCTGACTGTAGCACGAATTAGAGATGAGAGGTTTTTCGCCTTCTCTGAAGGTTTCACGCCGGTGAAGGATTTTTGGTGGATGAACGGAAATGCCGCCCAGCCTTGAAATTTCATTGCTTTCAATCATTTAATAGTATTGATTTCTTTGTAGAGCAACACAAGCTCTGCCGTCATCACTCAATCAGTCTCTACAACAACAGGATAAGCTGAAACTAATGGACGGATTAAGCTCGTCATTAAATACCTCATTTCATGGAACATTACCAATCAATACCAGCTACAACACTTGCCAATATACCGGACCACTCTGAATGACATTGAAAAACAGGAGAAATCCTTAAGATGTTCGTTCGTTGGTACGCAGCTTGTCAGCTTTAGGATAATTAAGGATGATGTTGCCATACAAACAATCCGTATCGATTGCTGAAATAGCAGAGCCGGAAGAAATGCTCTGTCGATCGATATGTATTTGACAGGTGCACTCCAAATGTAGCGCTAAATTTAGCAGGTATTCCAGTAATTCTTAGTAGCTCAGCTCCTTTATGTGGTGTTTGAAGTTTCTTAAAGGGGAAATTGTAGCAGATAGCTAGTTTCTAGATGCTAGCTAGTTTTTCAGCCTTAATAAGGAAAACGTAGCAGATGTTCTTCATCCCAAGTGAATACCACTTTTACCACCAAGCTAGTCATCAAAAGTGATCTTTCCATTTTTATTCGTTTAGAGTTTTGTTTGACGTCGAGATTTCAGATTGAAAATCTTTTGCTTTTTATATTTATTATTGTTCTATAATGTGCTATTTTGTCTGGAATAAACTTATACACTACAAAATATTTCGTTCATACAAGGATTTGTGTTGCCATAAAATCTCACCATAAGAATCCTTCATTACTTCTAACAACAGCAGTAACGATAATGATAAGAATAATAGTAACAGCAATCGCAATTATTTGGTTGTTTGCAAGGTAGTGCAGGTTTTTTTCAAACATTGGTTCTCTCTTTCTAAAATGAGTTTCATAGCTTTTTGCTAATACTGTATCCCATTTTAAAATGTAAGGCGCGTGTGGTGTATTGGTCGGAGGCGCCCTGCAACACATGTGGAGTCGATCTTCGCGCCCATGATCCACCAAGCATTCCATCACGCCGTGGTCGGTAAACTGGTATCAAAGTTGTCTGGGAGGATAGCAGCACTGGCTCGATGTATCGATAGGCCATCGCGAGTCATCGTAAAGGCCAGATATGCATACAATCACCTCTAAACGATGCAAAATGAAGTTGAATGCATGGCGCATCCTTCAGGGATTGACCAACGTCGATAGCTTTATCCTTTATCGTTTTTGAAATGTAAATTTAATCAAGAGCTTTGAAAGTGCGAAGGATCGTGGAGGGCCTTCTGCCATCGAGAACGACCATCTGAAAACGTCACTTAGAACAGATCCTACGCAGAACTGTTCGACAATGAAATTGTCATTATAAAGTCTGTGCTGTGCTTTTTTTCTTGAGTAACAGGAACAATAGTTTTGATACACTTGTTTAGACCTTTAAGTCTAGCTCTACCTCATTCCTAGTAGGTTTTTGACAGTCGAGCCATTAGGGTTGAAAATTGCATTCAATACGACGACCGACAACGTCTTGTGCAATGTCTAATGCAAGGACACAACAAAAAACCTTTCCAGAAGTCAAGCCTGTAGAAAGGAAGCCACTTGGAGAGTTTTATCAAGAATTTGGCAAAGTACCCCACAAACTGAAACTTTTACGATAGGTGCAGATCAGTCGAAAGGGATCATTTCTTTTGCAGAACAATGGTTAAGATTATGCCGCACAGCAGGCACTAACAGCATTGATCATTCCCAAGGAATCAACTATTTTGAACACCAGCATTTCACCAAACGTTGCACAGTTAACACTGTAAAATTAGCTCCACATAGTCCACGGACGTTTCGCCAGTCGGCTAACAAATTTTTAAATAACCTCGGCAACCGATTGTTGAGAAAGTCTCCAACAAACGAGCAGCTCCTGGGGACATCTTCAATAGAACCAATGGTCAACACACTAGCGATCACTGACCAACCGTCTTCCTTCCGCCTTAGAAAAATGGGTGTGATCCAATGGCACTTAACACGAACACTAATATTATAAGCTGAAATATGAATGTTGGAAGTGAACTCAAAAACCTGCACTAATCTCCGACTAAATTAATACAAGCCTGACAAAAGCCTATAATGTAAAACTTTTTGTTAATATATCAAAGAGGCTATAAGAGATACATTAAAATACCGAAACGCAGTTGTCAAAAACTGGCTTTCAGGAAGCAAATATCTGAGAGATCACAGTAATATATAAATGGGCTAGGGTTTCGTCGTCTGACGAGAAGAATCTGCTGGGAGTTCATAGGAAAAATGCATCGCTTCGCCGACAGAAATCATAAGAAAAGTAACAAGAAAGACGATCAACGAGAAGACAATCAGAAGCAGTCGATCTAGTACAGTTGCTAGGTATTCCCATTCCAGAGCGTATCTGTAAAAAAAAAGTCACAAAATCCTGAAACATGCGGTACAATTCAGTGCTGCTGAGCGCCAGCGAAGTGGATGACGACGAGTTCAGGACTAAGCCTTTAAACCGCTTCTTGTTAAAGCTATTTTTCTTGACTTTCCAAAGTAGGAATAATCCAATACAAATGAACGCGCAGCATGTAGGAACTGGTTCTCATTATGATTCCACTTTTGTCTTGTTATAAAATTCTTAAGGTTTACCTCCTTTTCAGTTTATTCTCCAAGACGCTATTCTCGGTGGAGCTCAGAGCCGAGAGATATTGCATAATCGGACCAGAATCGTCTCGTTGACCAGATTGATTGGCTAGAAATGAAAGGATATTACTACTTTTCAGTTGCTTTTAATCCTTAAGTACTTTATGATACTGAAGTTGGGAAAGGAGGAGATGAAGTGAAAGACGAAAAATGACAGAATTAACCATTTCAGGGCAAGGGTAAACAACTATTATCAATAAGTAGAAGAACTAAAATTTAAGCATCGTCTCTAGCCTTATCACCCTATCATCTGCAGAGCTGTTAGCAACCGTTTTTCTCTGCTTGCTTTAAATTTGTCCAGTGGCCTCTAAAAGGATTTCTTTTCCTAATTAGGCCACTTATTCTTAGTAGTTTTGACGCAAAAGTATTCACGAGTGGCTCAACAAGCCCCTATGCAAAGGCCATAGTCATGAGTAATTTGTTAGATTCCCTTGGTTTTGACAAGAGTCTTATAGCACTGTAATTCATATCTTATTGTTTTATCTCATAAATCCATGCTATAAAATCGCTTTGTGAAAAAAAACACAAATCGGCTCGAAATCTCTAAAGTACGTTCTTGTTAGTGCTGCGAACTTTTTATTTTGTTTTGTTGACAGTTTACTTTTCGAAATAAGCTTTTAGGTTCTCCATGATTTTCCCAGGTTGTAACTTTAAGTAACCGCCTTCACTTCCAGATCGAGTTGAAGTTTGACTTCATGTCACTGCCTTACTTCGAAGATAGAACTGAACATGCAATTGTAGTGTTTAACATCTAGAAACATGGAGTGTAAACAGAAAATCCGTAAGCCATTGAGTTAAAGGAACAACAAGAATAACGGTTCCGGTGTTGATCAATCCCTGAGGGAGGCGCAATGCATTCGACTTCATTAAGCATCGTTAGAGGTGATCGCTTGCGCATCTGTCATATGTGGTGAATCCCGATGGCTTACCAATACATCAAGTTAGTGCTGCTATCCTCCCAGGCAGAGTTCGTACCAATTTTCAGAACCGGGAGGGATGGAAGGCTTTGTGAGCTTGGGTGCGGGATCGATGCCATGTGTATTGTAATGCGCCTCTGACCACTGTGCCACACGCGCCCACTTAACACAAATGAGTAAAGTAGCAGCCTATAAAACTTGGAAGAACGATAAAGGATAAAAAGTCCGATTTTGATCAATCCTTGAGGGATGCGCCATCTGTTCACCTCTATTAAGAGGTGTTTGATTGCATAACTGGTTTATTGAATGACTAACGCTGGACAAGCGATGGAAGTTAGCATTTTTTTCCTCAGAGGAAAATCTAGTCAGTACTACTTTGTCGGCATCAGAGGAATGGAGAACTTGCCAAATCTTTTGAGTAGAATTGAGCCAATGATCACCTGTGTGTGTATTTGATGTATTTATTTATATGCTCTTATAAACTGATCTTTTTGAGCTGATGCGAAGGTGGTATGGGATTTTGTTGTCGTTGTTGTTGGTGTTGTTGGTTGATGGCTGACGTTTCGGCGATTTCACCCTCCTCAGAGCCGTGCTGTTACGAGCGGAACCTTGACCAGTCCTAGACTCCTAGACTCAAGGAGACTTTCACCAGTCCCAGACTCGCATACTCAAGGAGTCCCACTCGTAACAGCACGGCTCTGAGGAAGGTGAAATCGCAGAAACGTCACCCAACGACAAACAACACCTACAACAACGATAACGACAATGGAAACCTATGCCGACCTCGCATCAGCTCAAAAAGAACAGTTCATAAGATCATATAAATAAATATTTCAACTACTGATGTCAAGTTTTATAGAGAGTCGGTTTTTTGAATTATTAAGGCGAGCCAGCAAAACATTTCCGACTTGCAAGGGATGCGGGTGTATTGCAGGACAGCCTAAACACTGTGCTACACTCGCCTATAGTTCCAGGAGCATTATAAAAGGCCTAAAATATTGTCTTTGATTAAAAACTTTTGTAACCATTTTTGATTTCGTTTGAAGAGTGTTTTCTTACAAGGGAAGGCCCTAAAGAAATTACTTTGTTGTAATAATTGCAACGACACTTAAATATACCGTTTCTTCCTTTTCCTCCTAGTTTACTGAAAAGAAGCATCTCTTCCTTAGGAGAAAAAGGTTATTATTAACTTCTTCATCAGCAAAAGACCCTCACTCACCGTCTCCGCTACCATTCAGTTGTTCTTTTCTTCTCTTTTCACTCGCTTTTTTTGCAATTCTTCTCCAATTATTTCGTATTCTTTCACTTCGCAATTTTTCCGCTGCTTCAGCACTTCTGAGAACGATCGATAGTAAAAATCGATGAATATCCGTCAACATATATTATAAATCCAGTTCAAATAAAAGAAATCTAGCCAAACTTAGCCGAATTCTGCCGCTGACTGGCAAAATCGACCGCCAGTGCTGATGGAGATTTCACGCGGAGCTCGTCTTTTGGGACGTTTGACATTATTCTTACGACTTTCTATGAAACAAATTTTCGCTTTCTAAGGTAATGCAGAATAATTGTAAGGCTACGAACAGTTAGAAAAATTATTCACTAACCAGTCGTTTATTTTTTGGCCTTCCAAAATGCACACCAGTTTCTTCCCAGAGTTCATGTAGCATCGTTGGTGGACACATTTTAAGACACGAAGCTACCTAATTAATCCGTTTTATAGATCTTCTTCTTTTTAATACTAGTACGGACGAAAAATTGAATGACGTTAATAGATGAAGGATAAATCTGTTGGCGTTGATCAATCCTTGAGGGATGCGCTATGCACTCGACTTCATTAAGTACCGCTAGAGGTGACTGAATGCATATTTGGCCTTTACAATAACTCGCGGTTGCCTCCGATGTATCGAGCCAGTGCTGCTATCGTCCCAGACAAGTCTGGTACCAATTTACCGACCCCGGAGGGATGGAAGGCTTGGTGGGGCGTGGGCGCCGGGATCGATTCCACGTGTGTATCGCAGTGGCGCCTCCGACCACTGTGCCACACACGCCCTTTAAATAACGTTCGGAAACAAAATTTATCCGTATCTTCGCTGTCGTCTTATTTTGCCACAGATTTTTTTCTTTAGATCATTTTTTAAGTGTTTTTGTACATTTTCTGTTTTCTCTCAGAACCTCGTTTACTTAAGAGTTTAGTTGGGTATTTGTTTTCTTTCTCTAAAGCACCGATAAAAATGACTGCTGTGGAGCTAAGAGTACAGGAATAGGAAAACATTAAAGACTTCGCTATTATGCTTCTTTAAGAGCAGTTTTCGTTTCTTATTATATCATATTATTTTGCTATTTATATTACATTTTCGGATTATTTACATTATATTTTATATATTTTGTTTGTATATTTATATATATATATATTTATATATTATTTATATTTTATTATTTATACAATTGTCATTTACTTATACTTTACACTTTGACGGTGAAAGCGACGATTGTTTATTACTGGTTTATTACATGACGGACTTCTAGATGACCTTATTGTATCGATTTTCATTTACTACTTTTGAAATACTTATTCTGTTGTTAAAAAACTTAAGCTTTTACTTCTTTAAGTAACAGCCATTTAAAAGATCACTAATAATTGCCAGTTAGTAATCAATACGACATCGAGACGTTTAATAAATAATGCACAAAAGAACTCACTTTATTAAGGAATATGAACGAAATCAATGGCGAAACAGGTCTTGCATACACTTTCTGTAGATGAATATTCAATATGAACGCAGTGAAAAGTGTCCCGACGAATATTACAAATATAATGGTGAGGTAGAAGAGACCTAAATGAAAAGTACATCACACATCTGCGGTGTCAAGTTGGCGACAAAGCAGTGCTTGCCGTCGCCAGGCGAGCAATGCGAGTTCAATGCCAAGCAGCGCGCTGAGAGTCGTGCCCGGGTCGATTACGACCGGGTTCGTAGATTATGTGCGCTATAGCGAAGTTCCTTGTAAAGATCCCTCATTGACCCATGTGGGCAATCAGGTTCATGCGCTTGGCACAAAATTTCGAGCTGATCTTTAGCAAGAATATCGCAAGTGGTGGTTTAGGTGGCCATCCCAATGAGCATGATGACGGCGTGGTGATGTTCGGATTAAATAGCGTAGGTGTTCATTTCTCACGCTGTGTGCTCAATTTGAACTTGACCGTTTGGGAATACCACTGGCTGCCAAAATAACATGCTGTTTGCGTAACAAAGTAATTTATTTAAGGGTAACCTAAAAATTACCAGCGATAAGGAGGTCATGCGGATGAGCCACAAAACAGTATATCAAGCTATTATTCTGCAAGGGGAAAGAAGCCCAACTGTGTTAGGGTTTTCTGAAGTATTTATGAAAAAGCGACACAAACAGGAGATGGGAGCAAGCGGAGCACTAGGGTGGGTTGGACGTGATAAGTTGGGGACATTATGCAGAACAGAACTAAACAGGTAGTAGTAATTTTCAATTTTTTGTTTATCAGCGTTCTTCAAATACACAACAGATGCGTTGGAGTTGTTAATCATGTGCACAATTGATTGGAATACCGGATGCGCTTCAACTACTGCTTATGGATGAACCATAGATCCCGAATTTGTAAATGGCGCGAAATCGCGTTGCGCTACACTTATTAATTAAAGAATACGCTAACCAAAAAGTGGAACATAATCGCTGGTGGTAGGCATCTGTTCTGAAACCATCATCATTAGAATCGACATCGCTAGTAGTGAATCGATACCGAGTGAAAGCTTTTCACGTCTAAAAAAGAATATTGATTAGTTCGGCGAGTAGATCGATCGATGGTGTGAATAACGCATGCGCTTCTGAAATGCTTTACTGCTAATAACCACAATGTCTTACATAGAATTGAATTCTTCCACTATTATAAAACATTTAGCAAATTCTTGATTAGAATATAATTAAGGTAATTTTTTTTATTTCTATCGGTCGAATTAAATGTGAACCATGAAGAAGAAAGTCTTCGATTAGTAAAGAATAGGCATTCAATTACAACAATTATTGATTATCTATGGTTAATTCCTGTTATAAAGATAAGCAAAAAGGGATCGATATTGGTTTTGATAGAAGTAGATATAAAAAGGTAAAACTACTGCTTGTGATTATTCCAGAAAAGAACAATGTTCGAAATCCTGGAAAAACTGAGAAAAAAGCTTTAAATTTATAAACCTTAAATCAATCTAAATACTACTGAAGATTGTATGAAAACGTACTGACTGACCTCTCGGAGCTTGTCGATGCAGCTGTGAAAAAACCGGTGACAGCAACCATGGTGATGACCGATGTGGGGATGACCAAATTCACAATGTAGTAGAGCGGCTTACGACGTACTACCAGCACAGCCTCGAGCAGTACCCATGGTTCCGGACAGCAGACGAATTTTTCCTGAAAACCGGAAGAAAATCTGGAAATCGGATGGGCTCATTTTTATATTTTGCTACTTGTAAAGTTTTATTGCTTGCAAATGGTGTACTCGTAATAACATCTTGTCAACTTTACCAATAAAAACAACAAAAAAGCTTTAAATAACTTTAAATTTTGACTCCCGTTTCCGGCTTTTTTTTTAAGAACAAATTGAATATATCGGAAGGTAGTGAGGTTTTGTTCTTCAATGAAAAAAAGAAAAATGGAAGATTGAGGGGCAGCTCCGAAATCTATGAAAAATCTAAAAACGATAGGGAAAACAATAAAAGAAAGAAGAGAAATTGCAATTTATTTAGAAAGCTAACGTTTCCACAGTATCGCCTCCTTCAGAGCCTGGAAGGGTATGCTGATGTACAATCTACTAGGCCAAACGCTTCAACAACACTTACAAAAAGACGAAAAACTCTCAGGTAATACACGATCAACAACTTCTCGAAAAAACCCACCGTTTTTTACGTGACTTCCAATGAGGAAGTTTAGAACAGCTGATTATAGTCGCATATGGTTTGATGACTGCACCATCCCACATCAGAAATTGATGCGAACACACGGGGTCAGGTCGCGTGTGACCTCTGGGCACTCCCCTGCTATTATTCCGGGGTTTTTGGCATTTATCAAAAAAGCTTCAAGGAGTTTTCGCGCTAGTGTTTTAGTCTCCTGTGCAAGGATATTGACTTTTACTTCAAAATCGTCTCCTCTGTGCTTTTGTATCCTATGCGTGCCTAGTGGGGTGCTTCGTCTTGGTTTTGGTTGGCATCTAGGTGTTCTTTTATACGGATACACAAAGGTCTGTCCGTTTCGCCAATATATTCATTTCCGCAATTATTACAAGAGATCAGATATATCGTACCTGAACTCATGCAATCACCGTCCCTGCCGTAAGGGCAAATTACGCAATTTGTTGTTTCACACAGACGGTCATACAGGCGGTTGCGAACTAATTGACGACGTGGAGTAGCCGGTGGTATTTCAACTATCGCTACCGATTCCTCTAGACCTGCCCTTCTTAAGCATCGTTTTATAGCTACGCTTACTTCATTGCTGATAAAAAAATTTCTTAAAACCTTTTTAAAAGATATTAAAAGCTGCAGCCTTTGCCACAGTGACCCACTGACTGTTCAGCTTTCGAAATTGACTTTTGTAACTCCCAAGTAAGACTTTCTATTAACCTCGGCATTGATTGAATATATTTTTCTACTTCTGTTCAGCAAACACGAGGTGCTATTTTATTTCTTTATTTACGCTCAAGCTGATGTTTCGGCGGATTTCGCCTTCCTCAGAGCCTGAAAGGGTCAAGTTGACAGCAATCCACTCGGCCAAACACCTCCGTAACCAAACAGAGAAAACGCTAAACCAAGAAAGAATTATTCAATCAATGCCGAGGTTAATAGAAAGCCGGACTTAAGAGATTTGATATGTTTCAAAAACAGATTTTCGTTTAATCTCCGCACGCCTAATCAATACGTATTTTAATATGCCGAATAAAGATCATATATCAATCTCGTATAAGCTTATCAAAAATTTGACATGTTGTTCTGTTTATCAAAAAGTAAACGGAGACAAGCTGGTCCTCTCGAGTACTTCCGGTTTTTTTGAATAAACAAAACATGTTCAAAACAGCGGAAAAAAATTCGTCAACAAACAATGAGATTTGCTTAAGCCACTAATAGCTAGTAGATGTCAACAAAGTGTAGTAAATAGTAAAGAATTAAGTAATGAAGCGATCATTCATTGCAATTCGTAACAGTCTGAAGAGCTTCTCAACTTAAACTTCTTTTAGTAATACAAAGATGTTGCTCTCCTTAGCTAAATCGACGATAGCACGTCGCTTCACCTACTTGCCACGTTCCAGTCCACAAATGAAGCAACTGTTCTTCAGCACGTCCTCCTTATCATTTTTTTCCGTTCTCAAATCACCAAATGTGTCAATGATAACACCAAAAATTAGATTCAAAACGATGACGATAAGCACGACGTAGAAAGACAAATCGTAGATGATTCGGTAATAAAAGAGTTTCTCCTGAATAAAAGAAAAATTAAAAGACACTCATTTGATCAATACGCATATTTTTCACTAGTCCTGAAATTGTTCTTCTACACTGCCGTAACCAAGTTTAAAACGATGTTACGAAAAAAATTTGAAGGTTTTGGCTTCGAGAGCAATAAATGTTGCTGCTGTTCGTTGATTATTTGATGTTGTATCGACGAGGACACGTGACTGTGTTACAGGAGTACCGATTTTAATCACATTTAGCATAGCTCTGCACATTCACCGCTTTCTATGAATCTTCCACTGAGTATGTCGCGTGAAGACCGACCGCACAGAATTCACATGGAAGCGTAATGTGCCCCTCCCATCAAAACAACAGGTTTGTATACTGTCCAATATCACGCGTGGTAACGAGGCATTCCTCCCTGCGGTTCATTTTCGGATTCTTGGAATTTATCCAGAATGCCTCTAGAGTTTTGCGCGCTTGTGTTCTCGATTCTTGGGCGAGGATCGTAACCCCTACTTCAGAATCTTCTCCGTTATGTTTCTGCGTGCTATGCATACCTAGTGGAGTATTTGGCTTACGTTTGCCGACTAGATGTTCTTTTATACGTACGCAGAGTGGTCTACCCGTTTCGCCAACGTATTCGTCTCCGCACGCTTTGCAAGAGATCAGATAGACTGTACACGAACTCATGCAGTCACCATCTCTACCATTGGGGCAAATTATGCGATTTTGCGTTGCACATAGACGGTCGTAGAGGCGGTTACGAACTAGCTGGCGCCTTAGATTACTCGGTGGTATTTCGATTATCGTTACCGAATTCTCTAGACTGGTCCTTCTTAAACAGCGTTTTATAGCTGCACTTACTTAACTTGAAATGAAGGGCAGTATAAACGGGACCCTTCTATTACTAGAGTTGTCATTTGGAGGTCTAGGATTTCCTCTACACCTGTCCTGAGCTACAGTTTCGTAGCCATTAAAAATGGCTATTTGCCGTGCCAAGTTCTGGGACTCCTCTCTCTACTCTCTTCCCGTGCACACGTTGGTTGCCGTTCGAAACATGTTTCTTATAAGCGCCCCTTTCGTGTGAGAGGGATGAGAGGAGAGGTAATGAACTAGGATGTTTTTACTACTTGGCTTTCGATACCACTTCGTAATGTAGCCGTTTTCTGATAGGCTATTTTGCATGTTCAGAAATGAAAGCCAGTGATAAGAGGGGATGGTTCGCAGTTATTCCTCGGCAGCTGGATGTTGAGAAAACAGAGTAACATCTTAGTGATGATACCCTATATCGCCCATCCTCTGAAAAGGCATATAAAAGTCAATACCGAAAGCTTAACAATCAATGGGTCAGTGCTGCAAGGCTGCAGGTTTAAGATCATTTAAAACCTACTTATTAAAACATATAAGTTGATATCACCTGGTGACCTCGCGTCAACCAATCCGTCATCATTTAAGGTTAGACCCATAATCAGCTGTGTAGAGCTCACATCACAAACACCCAAATGTTCCTAGAACGTCTACGTAACGTGCCTCCTAATAACGCGTACGTGATGGAGTCTTTCGACGTTACCACACTGTACACCAACGTGTCGAATGACTCCGCAATGCAAACCATCTTCGAACTTCTTGTTTAACATGAAAGTAGAATAAATATGCATGGCTTGATCATCCAGCAGCTAATGGCTCTCTTAAAAGAGTTCCCAAACTGCTCGATTTTCAGATGGTCTGGGAAATATTTCGCGCAAATAAGGGGGTTGGCAATGGGACAGCGTTTGGCACCAAGCCTTGCCATTGTGTTTATGTCTAAGATAGAAGCCCCTGTTCTCGATCTCCGGCCACTACTCTACTGCAGATATGTAGATGATTGTTTTGTCGTCTTCTCTACGCAGGAGGAGATGGACAAATGCTTTGAATTATTGAACGAGCAGTCCGAGTACATAAAATTCACCCGGGAGAAACCGAGAGAAAACTGGCTTCCGTTTTTGGACGTCCAAATAAACCTATCAAGTAGCGGTTACCTGATAAAGTGGTACCGAAAGCCAAGTAACAAGAACATTCTTGTTCATTTCCTTTCTTCCCACCCTTCAACACCCAAAGAGGACGATTGTGAGGAACATGTTTCGAACAGCCACCTTGTGTGCACTACCAGGGACCTAAAGGAAGAATCGCGCGACTTGGCTGGGCAAATAGCCATCTCCAATGGCTACGAGATAGTAACCCCACGAGATAAGTCTAGAAGGAGAGCGACGCACCCACGCGAAACCCTTGGCCAAAAGAAAGTCCCGTTTATGTTGCCTTTTATAAGCGATGAAGTAAGCGTAACTATAAAACGATGCTTAAGAAGGGCAAGTCTAAAGGAATCGGTAGCGATAGTTGAAATACCACCGGCTTGTAATAATTGCGGAGATGAATATATTGGCGAAATGGGCAGACCTTTGTGTATCCGTATAAAAGAACACCTAGATGGCAAACGAAAACTAAGACGAAGCACCCCACTGGTTACGCATAGGATACAAAAGCATAGCGGAGACGATTTTGCAGTAAAAGTCAATTTTTTTTTGAGTCTGAGTCAAAAGTCTTTTTTGATAAATGCCAAAAACCCCGGAATGAATAGCAGGGAATGCCCAGAGGTCACACGCGGCCTGACCCCGTATGTTCGCATCAATTTCTGATGTGGGATAGTGCAGTCGTCAAACCATATGCGACTATAATCAACTATACTAAACTTCCTCGTTGGAAGTCACGTAAAAAGCGGTGAGTGTTATTAGCAGTGTTATTGAAGCGTTTGGCCTAGTAGATTGTATATCACTATACCCCTCCAGACTCTGAAGAAGGCGATACTGCCGAAACGTCAGCTAGTGTTGTATTGCATTGTGTTTCTCTATGGAAGTAAATATATGCTGTTTACCAGCCTCGTGATTGCTGAACAAGAAAACGACGCATTCATATTCCAACGCTGAGGTTAACAGAAAGTCGATCCTGAGAAGTAATAAAACATAAAATTTTAAAAAATTAGGAAAAAGAGATGCAAACACATAATAGATTTTAGGGGAAAATTTGCAGATCTTATTGAAGACACATTGAAGAAAAACGGACTTTTCTAGGAAACTTAACCAGTTGTAAAATTCTCCTACTCATATTTGCTTGTATACGCTTATCCCTTAAGAAACTAGCATCGCTCCTCCGCAAGGTGGGTGATGTTAGTGGGTGTCAGATGTGATGTACAATGTGTGCTCTTTGCCCAAACGGCATCATCCAAGTTGAGATGTTAGAATTGACAGATAACTACTTTCATATTGGTAGGAACTTAATCGCAAAGTAGGAAATCGTCCTTTGGTACACATTGGCTGACGATTGCCTGTGATGACAACTTGCTAAAGGACTGCCTTACTACGGATGTCCTGGGACTTAAATAGAAGGAAATTGTTGCGCGATTCTTTGCGAAAACAATCCGTATCCGTATAAACACTAAAATGTAATGGTAAATGCACTCAGATGTTTCTCTGACGAACCTCAACTCGTTTTATATCAAAGCTGATCACGATCCACTCTTCGTTGGGAATGAAATTGTCAAGATTCACGCTGTTGAACTCGGCTTTGTAATCGATGTCGCTCTTCGACGACGTCCATGAAGAGATTGTCAGCTTGCACTCTTGCTGATCGTACGGAAAATATCTAAATTGCAGAGCACTTTAACAGCTATCATTGGAATAACTGTTATGACCTTTATTATCCGAAACACAGAAAAATATCCTAAATAGAACGATGAAGATTAGAACCTTACAGCCATAGAATAAAGGCTTTCCAACCTTAGCAAAAATGACAAGATCTCAACAGATCTTATTTCAACTGAAAAAAATGCCCTCTCGGAAGTTGTAGGCTGAACTGCTCTCGTTTAGCTATGAGTCACATTTTTCTCGTATTTCTGCGAATTTGTTAGATATCCGGAACAACGGTACAAAAATGGCAACTCGTCCTGGTAAGTGGTCAAAACTCGTTAGCGGCCGTTGCTCACTAAGCCCTTCTGCTTTCCTACAATCAGGAGTCGGCTTTTCCGTGTATTCTCGAGAATTCTTGCAAGTGTTAATGAACACAAATATGCTGATGAAGAAGAAGGAGATTGTTACGAAGAAAGTACGTAGAAAATTTTAACGAACAGAAAGGAGGATGGATTCATTTTCCTGATACCAAACTTACAAAAGTGGATTTCCGCAAAATGTCAATGGATAAACGACAAACCTAATGTCAAGCATACAACTTGTGCGATATAACGCTGGATACATGAATTTGATTTCGGCACCTCGTTCACCTTTCCAGAAGTTTGTCGTCACCACCACATTAATGTAGCGTTCAGTTTCTTCACGATTCATCACCACACTAAAAAATTAGTGTTTTAGAACAAAAGATAAAAACAAAGCACAGAACGATCAAGCAGAATGATGCTAGTTCGAATCTGGCCTGGGTGTTGAAGTTTTGCTAATAACTTAGCATCACCACGATTTTCTTTCAGATGATACCTTAGGAAAATGATTTAGATTTAAAAAATGAGCAGGAAATAAAAATATAATCGCTGCGGTTTCGACTACAGCCTCAGTTTAACCGGGTTCAATGCCGACTTATGCTGCTTAGATCATTCCCTNAAAGGGCGCTTATAAGAAACATGTTTCGAACAGCAACCAACGTGTGCACGAGAAGAGAGCAGAGAGAGGAATCCCGGAACTTGGCACGGCA